ACTATGCGGAAACCAAGGTCCAGACTGTTGAGGAGTCTCTCTTTTAATTCATTTTGAAGAAATCAAGGGCTGTTTTTTTTATTACCTTTATTATTTTCTTGTGAGTAGTTTAGCAGTTTTTCTCATGCACACAGAAGACTTAAGAAATCTTTATCAAATTGAATTAAATTTCAAAAATAGATGACAGATCTGTTGACGTGGGGCTACACACGTCTTGTGTTCTGGATCAATTCAGTGAAAAGCCAGGGCTCGCAGTGGGTCTCGGGGTCATACCTAGCTGATTTCTCTTTTATTTCTTTGTAGCTTCCAGTACAGAAAGTCTCACAGGATTGCGTAAGTACTTTGAAAAAAAAAATACCCCCAAAATCCTGTATTTTGGTTCATAATTTATTCTTCCTCCTATCCATTTCTTTCCACCTTAAGATGAACACTGTGTCACTGAACCTGATGAGCGGCTACAAACAAGTCTGATTTATGGCCCTTCTAGAAATACAACGATAACAGCACCCCCCGCCAGCTGCAGTGTAAATGAACTAAGTGGACATGCTGTCTGTCTGGCCGTTTTATTTCGCCTTTGCTTTAAGTTTCAGTGCGCCAGTGCGCCTTACAATCCATCAGGGCATTCGTTTAAATGCAGGTCCTAGCAGTTCACTTCTCTCTCCCATCCTCTGAGATCCAGATTTGGAGGTCCCGGGGTGAGACTTGGGAATAGCATTTCTGTGGGGACACAAGTAAGGCTGCAGACCAGGCTTGGAGCAGCCCTGGCCAAACGCAGTTCATGTGTGCCAAGTAATTCCAGAAGCGCAGCTGAGTTCCCAAAGGCGGGGCAGAAGATATGTGTGCATGTATATATTTATTTTATTATGTATTTATTTATACATACAGAACTGGGATGCAGGCCAAAGGCGTGTGTCTGGGGGCGGGGGGTGGGAGGCTTCACCAGAGACAGAGCGGGGAGCAGAACAGGCAGATTGAAACACACTGCCGAGGGGAGCAGCGGGCGGGTCAGGGGAGGTCTGCTGCGCCCTGTGGGTCAGCTCCCTGGCTCGGGATCGAACTCGCACTGAAGCAGCTGTGGCCAACTTCACAATGCTGTGCTTTAACCTGTTGCGCCACCAGCGAGGGCCCGATATGTGTAGATATTTTAGGTGTTACCTATTTTTACTTTTCTTAACGTCTATTTCAACATGATGTGCATTGAGGCTTTTAACATTTCCCCAAGTGTCTTTTGGCTCCAGTCTAAGTCTCAATTGTTGAAGAGAGACTTGCACAGGTGTACGGCTAACCTGGAACTTTTATTCTGGTTTTCTGAATGGTGTTGTCAATGTCCCTACTGCCCTGCTGGGTAAGAATCAGCCTCGCTACAACCCTTCTAAGCAGGAGACCTCTCTGTGCCAATTCTGGGGCGCATGCTCACTGCCTCCAGGACTTAGGGTCTGATGGAAAGATGGACAGCCATCAACTGACCACAGAGTCAGAATAACAGCTGTGATGAGCACTGGAGCAAGGCGTTCAGGGCACGGAAATGTGGTCAAGCCATCAGAGAGAGCAACCTCAAGAAAAGTCACAGGTGAACTGAGTTCCAGCACTAATAAGGAGTTAGCCAAACAGGAAGAGGGTTTTTCTGTTGGTCATGGGCATGGCTGTCAGGAACTCGAGGGGACAGATTCACACTGGGACCACTGTGGTCACACTCACCTCCCAGCTGCCCAGTGCCACCTTTGCCATGCTTGGTGGTTCCATCAGACAGGGTTCCAGCCAGGATGGCACCTGATGGCAGGGTATCTCTAGCAGCCGCTTCCCAAACTGGGCCCCTGACACAGTCTCTGAAGCTCTGGAAAGAGCAGGAGTGGTATTGGTCTTCGGAACAATACACTTGGAAGTATGACTTTTGTCCCCTGGAGCCAGTGGGTGGAAAGCAGCTATCTGGACAGGTGTAGTCAAATCAGGTACTTACCTGCCTTCTAAGGAAAAATCTACATCTGGAGGGAGGTGTTGGGAGCAAAGCTAGAGATGGACCCCTGAGTAAATCTCTGGGGAGCTCATCCTTGCTTGTCTTTATGCTCAAGCTTCTGCAGTGTTGCTTCTATTAGTGCAATAATGTACCCAGTGTCCGAATCTGACAGCAGGTTCTTTGGGAGGTTTGCAGCGATGGCTGTCTGCATGTCCTTACCTGGGGCAGGCGTGGATGTCAGAAATGAGGTAGGGTGTTGTTGCCCGCATTTCCTAGATTTATGGTCTCTGTTGAAGGAATGTTTTGGTTGCCTGTGTTTTGTGAATTGCTTTTTCATCTTCAGGGGTGTGTAGCACAGGGCCTCATTGGTCCTGTTATTGACAACATGAAGGGGCAAATGGATGTGTCTATTGTGGATTCCACATTCAAGGTGTGGATCTCTGACGTTAGTTTCTGCTAGAGAAATTCAATTCCCTGACTGCTGATAGCTGCCCCTGGCAGGGATTATGTTTTAAAAGGATCTGAGCAGTTTATCAAATGCCCTAACATCCCTTACACTGGCACATAAGGAAAAGGGTATCAGGAAAGCAACCCAGTTAAATATTTTAGGAAATTTAGCTTACTACATCTCTTTGTATCTGGCATATTTGGATATAAAAGCATTTTAAAAGATGAATCAGATACCACGTGCCATTTCAGTAGATTTCTATGGCAAAATACGGTGGGTGGGACCCTTCCCCTTGAAGTAGGTGAGAGTGCTGTGTTTTTCTACTGTAGTTAGACGTCCTGCACTGCCCCTCCACCCTTGAGTTCCCAGGAGGGCCCAGGAGAGCCACCTGCACACTCACGGTCTGAGAGGACACGTGTGGGGCCAGCTCCTTCTCCTCTCTGACATCTGAAGTGCTGTTCTCTGTCTCTTTACATCCTCTTTCGACTCATCTAAATACTGTGAAAAATTTTGTTCAGTTTTCTTCTCTTTGCCACCATGAATAGAAAATGGAAAATTCTGGATTTTAAAAAAATTCTGAATTCTTAATTGTGTTCAGTGAAACCTAAAAGGACGCTGCAAACCACTGTCTTCAGTCTTAAAAAAAAAATAAGATAATGCAATATTCTGGGCACTAAAGAACCATTTATTTCCCTGTTCATCTCCTGATGAACAATGAGCGAATTCTCTAATGGTGAAATAGTAAAGTGTTTCCACACATTAAAAAAACGTGATGACTGAGGCTGGGTAATGGCTTTTCTGAGAGACCATTCACAGGAGTGACCAGCAGGGAGCAAGAAGGGCTGAGGAAGTACCTTGACTGAAAACTTCCAGTTGGCCTTTCCTGACCCCTTCCTTGACCTTTTCCCTTACAAGCACCACAGCAACCACCTGCCCCCTTATCGCCCATCACCCCAACCTCTCCGGTCACTCCCTGAGCACCTATATCTCCTAGCCTCGAGCTAACCGCGAAAAGCCACCCCGAGGACTGACTCCTGCCGTCGACGGGCTGGAGCCCTGGGGAACTGCTGCCTGTTTCGCTTTTCCCTGTGAGGGACTCAGTGGGATCACGGCAGACAGGAGCTCGGTATCTGTGGCCGCCTCACGGCGGAGGCCCTCACAGGAGGCTTGGAAGGTGGCTTAGCGTCGGCTGCCATCTTGGATTTGATCGGGATGGGCGTGGAGAGTGTGTTGAGGAGTTTTGAACAGGAAGCCACTGTCGGGGAAGACGGGGTTCCTCCCGCTCTGTACACTCTCCCTACTGGCTCCTGGTACGCGCTGGTTGCATCAACGAATGTGCTAGGATTAGAGAAAGAAGCGCAGCTAGGGCCCTCAAGGGGCCCCCGGAGCAGACGGGGGTCAGAGAAGGAAGACCCAGCCCAGCAAAATGGCGGTGGGGTGAGAAGGAAAGGGGACCCCGGCGGGACGCTCGATATCAAAGGCGAGGAGGTGGAATCAAACAGGACAAGCAAATCTAGCCCGGTTGCGCGGAGCGGGGTGATGCGGTTGGCTCAAAGGGAGCGAGGAGAGCCGCTGGAGGCGGGGTGCCGGCAGGGTGCTGGGGCTGGCTTTGTGAGGCCCGTCAGGCCTGGAGAGGTGGAGGGGCGCCCTTCCTGGAAAGCCCAGGGAGACGTGAGGTGCGGGGGAGAGTGAAGATAAGGTCGATGAC